TAACCTAGCAAGCCTACTATCTTCCTAACAATGAAAGTGACTCCTATATACAAAGAATATTCAAAAGGTAAAGAAAAATATTAGATTTTATTGCTATAGGGAGAGAATGTGTCCAAGTAGTTGTTGGTGGGGGGTGGGGGGTATTGTTCTGATGTTATTTTAATAAAAGCAGTCGGTTGGAACTCTAAACACAAATACCCTTACGCTTCTTTATAATACCACAGAACCTCACCATGAAATACAAAGGTGTATCTGTTAGAAAATAAAAATAAGTGGCAGTTCAGGAGTTGAGACTCTGTGCTTCCCCTGCAGGGGACACGGATTGAGTGGTTGGAGAACTAAGATTCTGCATTCCACACAGCATGGCCAAAAGAATTAACTCCACAACTATCCATTCTACAGCTGTGGCACTGAGTAGTGACTCATTTGATATCAAACCAGCTTTGAAAATATCTCTTCTAATAACTATCAAAGAAATATTGTGATTGACCCAACATTTCGTTCAGCTTTTTCTGCAACATCTTATGGAAAAACACTTTTTGATCAACCTCACACAAGGAAAGGGGATGTCTAGAAAGAAGGTGAGATGGTTGGATGCCATCACTGACTCAATGGACATGAGTTTGAGCAAACTCCGGGAGATAGTGAAGGACAGGGAAGCCTGGCATGCTGCAGTCCATGGGGTTGCAAAGAGTCACTCACAACTGAGTGACTGAAGAAGAAGAAGGTATGCATATAGGTTAACTATATCCACAGTAATACTGCACAGAAAGCAATTACAAAAATTATCAGCATTAATTTAGCCAGGAGTTTGAGGTTTGGCTGATCCTGGGTAGGCTCATTCATGACTCTGCCCTAGCCTGGACTTGACAGCTTAGCTGGGACAGATGAGCTCTGCTTGTCTCACCTTTCTCCTGGGACCAATGGGCTAGTCTGGTGATGGTGGAAGTACATGCATGACCATCCTAATGGCCCAAGCTTTTGTTGAGATTCTGGTGCCCAACTGCTTAACATCCCCTTAGCTTAAGTAAGTCATACAGCTGATTCCACTCTGCTTGTCTTTAGTTGTGGAAGAAGGACACTATCAAATTACATGGGAAAAGGCATAACTACAGATAGAGGTGAAGACCTGGAGCCAAGAAGGCAGTTTACCATAGTGGCGATACAGAAAGAAGCTTTGTGTGGATCCACCACTTCTCAATAGAGTTTGACAAGCATGGAGTCTCTAGCATGTGTCAGATACTGTATTATATGTTGAGACTACAAAGATATGTAATAATACTTGGCTTTTGTTTATGAGAACTAACAATATTTTGAAGAAGAAACTGAGCAAGAGCCTGCAGTAGTGAGTTTTGGTTGCTTGTAGGGAAAACAGTAGATTTCAAAGGAAGAAGCTGCTAATCTTAGCAGGATTCAGAATGGAAACACGGATTCTTTATTGTCTGAGCTACCTGGCAGATGTAAGACAGGCTTCCCAGGTGGTGCTAGTGGTAAAGAACCCGCCTGCCAATTCAGGAGATGCAAGAGACGTGGGTTTGATCCCTGGGTTGGGAAGATTCCCTGGAGGAGGAAATGGAAATCTGCTCTCCAGTATACTTGCCTGGAAAAATTCATGGACAGAGGAGCTTGGTGGGCTACAGTCCGTGGGGCTGCGGGAAGTCAGACATGACTGAGCAACTAAGCACACATAAGATAGAGCAAATTTCTCACCTAGTGAATCTTCTTAAAATTCCAGAGAAGTACCGATTGCCCCAGCACTAACGCATCCTATCCCCAGACAACCACTGTGATTCATGCTTACTGAGTTGCTGAAGAGTAGTTACAAAAATGCATATAAATCCCACTCTCTGTCCACCCTACCATGTATTTGTGTTTGGGCAGAAAAACAGCCCTGTGTTTGCTCACAGAGCTTTAAGTTCGTAACAATATTTAGTGCTGGGCCTCTTAACTTCTGTAATATTGGATTGAACCGTATGAAACTGCCAACATACAATCAGTTTTGACCTACAACATAGGCAATTCCATCGTGAGGCAGGAGATAGATGGGCTCCAGGCTAGACATTCACAACTAGCTTCTTGTTTCCATTTCCTGAGGAAGGGGGCAGGTGAGCTCCAGGTTAGATATTGACAATGAGTCTCCTGCTTGCACTTCGAAGTAGAAATAACAACAGGAACAGGGTAAATAGCCAGATTTTGCCTCTTGAAGACATTTTAAGATAACAGTCAAGGCAAGAACAGAGAATGCCTAAATCCTGTTTGAGTAAAAGATCAAGAGATCATACAGTTCCCATCTTTGGGGCAAGGGAGACTTCACACATGCATAGAAAATCCCCCTGGGGGTCAAAGAGGAGGGGGCGACATCCAAGAACAGGTGAGAGCAAGGCCACCACCATAGCCGATTAACAGTGTTGTGATAGTTTCTGGTGAACAGCAAAGGGACTCAGCCATACATACACATGTATCCATATGGGCACAATCGCTTCAGTTATGTCTGACACTTTGTGACTTCACGGACTGTAGCCTGGCAGGCTCCTCAGTTCATGGAATTCTCCAGGTAAGAACACTGGAATGGATTGCCATGCCCTCCTCCAGGGATCTTCCTGACCCAGGGATCAAACCGACATCTCCTATATTTCCTGCATTGCAGGCAGATTCTTTACTGGTGATCCACCGAAGAATCCCATAAAAATATCCATTTCCCCCCAAACTCCCAGGATGTCACATAACATTGAGCAGAGTTTCATGGGTTATAGGTCTTTGTCAGTTATCCATTTTAACTATAGCAGTGTGTAATGTCCATCCCAAACTCCCTAACTATCCATTCCCAACATCCTTCCTTCTGGCAATCATAAGTTTGTTCTCTGTGAGTGTGTTTCTGTTTTGTAAGTAAGTTCATTTGTATAATTTCTTTTTAGATTCCACATATAAGGGATGCCCTATGATATTTCTCCTTCTCTGTCTGAGTTACTTCACTCAGTAGGACAATTTCTAGGGCCATTTTGTTGCAAATGGCATTATTTCATTCTTTTTAATGGTTGAGTAATATTCCATTGAATATGTGTACCACATCTTCTTCATCCATTCCTCTGTTGGTGGCTATTTAGGTTGCTTCCATGTCTTGGTTATTTTAAACAGTGCTGCAGTGAACACTGGGGTGCATGTGTTCTTTTGGATCATGTTTTTCTCCAGATACATGCCCAGGAGTGGGATTGCAGGGTCATATGGTAGCTCCATTTTTAGTGTTGTAAGTAACCTCCATCCTGTTCTCCATAGAAGCTGTAACTGTTTACATTCCCACCATTAGTGTAGGAGGGGTCCCTTCTCTTCACATCCTCTCCACCATTTATTGCTTGTGGATTTTCTGATGATGGTCACTCTGGCTGATGTGAGGTGATAGCTCATGGAGTAATATTTTATTTATTTACTTTTGGTTATGCTGGGTTTTCATTGTTTTGCTTGGACTTTCTCTAGTTGCCATGAGAGAGGGCTACTCTTCACTTAGGCACAGGATTCTCACGGTGGGACTTCTCTTGTTGCGGAGCACAGGCTCTAGGGCATGCAAGCTCAGTACCTGTGGCAGGCAGGCTCTAGAATGCTCAGGCTTCAGTAGCTGTGTCTTAGTTGCTCTGTGGCATGTATCCGGAGCAGGGATCGAATCCATTTTCCCTGCAGTGTCAGGCAGATTTTTATCCATTGTACCACCAGGGAAGCCCTTGATCTCTGATTTTAAAACCAGGTTTGTGTTTATATCCAAAATCCTACAGGGCAGCCTGCAAAGTTAACAGTCATAAAACTATGATCTATAATCTATTTTCAAAAACTCACTTGTCCCTTTCTTGTCCCTCATGTGCTCTGTGCAAGAAATACATAATCTCTAGAGGTACTCCCCAAAGTTACTCTTCCACTGCTGCCCTCATACACTTCTCTTTTTCTTTTGCACTTCTTGCTTCAAATCCCTTTAAAAAATGGCCTGGGATTCTCTTACTGGTCACCTTCACTCCTAAACTCTTCTTGCTTTCCTCCCCTTCAAAAAACCAAGACCTAGTATGAAACAGCAGTTTATGAGGAAAGAAGGAAGAGAGAAAAGGTAGGAACACTGATATGCTAATAGTATTTTATTCTTGCTCCCTATTCCGCAACAGAAAGAACTAATTTACATTTAAAAGGTCGATATACTTATTTTAGTAGGTAAACGGTTAAACAACATCAGACTATTGAGCATGGGGAGACAACGTTCTAATCAGTGGAACAGTATTCAACATTGTAAGCCAAGAATCCAAGTTAAAACTAATCTTATCATGTTAGAACTTACTTTTATAAAGATTTCAATGTATCGGTGACATTTTAAATTGCCTCAGCCTTTCTTTTTCAAACAAACTCGATTACATAAAACAAGAAGAATAACGTGCTGATAACTTTTGATCAATTTCTTTTTGGGGGTACAAAATAATGTAACTTTTTTCTTAAGTAATTTACGGCGGCATTTTTCTGACATGTTCCAGACGGTCAATAACCAAGACACCAGTATTTGACTATTAAATAAACTGAGAAGTGATAAATAAAAGCGCCAAGTGCCTTCAGAAGTGAAAATGATTCATGCCTAGAAAGTAGTGTTAATGGGGAAAAATAAAGAAGAGACTGCTCTTATACAACTTCTTAAAACACATTAAACAAAAAATTGTCCATGTGATGATGATAATGAGTTTCTCCTAAATTTGCCTCATTGTTGTGTCAAACAAAAACTGAAAGACAAATGAAATCACAAGAGCAAACAATATACCTTCACCTTACTATGTATTGTATACTGACAAAGATTGAAAAACAGTATCAACAAGGCAAAAAGCTACTGGAACGTTCCACCGATGGTTCTTTGTATATGGAAACATACAACCAACATCCGGCCGCAGTGCTCACCCGCCCTCAAACTCTGCAGCCAACCTCCGCATTAGGCGGAGGCAGCTTGATCAGCCCCCATCCAGCCTTCAGAAACGACTCTCAACGTCTGCGGCGCGACCGGAAGTGACGTCAAGCTGCGACGCCAGCGCCTGCAGCTTGCCGCTGCGGGAGGCATTTGGTCAAGCTGGAGACGGCGTCTTTCACCGGATGGTTGCTAGAGTGGGATCATGACGGGAAAGAAGTCTTCCAGGGAGAAGCGGCGCAAACGAAGCGGTCAGGAGGCGGCGGCGGCCCTCGCGGCGCCGGACCTGGTCCCCGCCGTAGGCAGCAGTGGCAGTGGAAGCACCAGCGGCTGCGGGAGCGCAAGCGGCTGCGGGAGCGTCACCTGCTGTGGGAGCACTAGCGTGAGTGGAAGTGTCACCGGCGGCGGGAGCGGCAGCAGCTGCTGGGGTGGCAGCAGCGTGGAGCGCGGTGAGCGTCGGAAGCGGAGAAGCACTGACTCATCTTCCAGCGTCGCCGGCTCTCTGCAGCAGGTGCGTGCGCGTCTTTCTCGCCGCTTCTCGAAGCGGCCGCGTTTTCAGAAGGCGGGCGAAGAGCGGGATGTGACTACGGGATGCGTAGCCTGGCGTCGCTCCTGTTAGCGCTGCGGTCCTACAGGATCCGGTGATGAAGTGCACGTTCCTAAGTTCCCTTGAACCCCACACTCCCACGACTTGAACTTAAAATTTCTGGCTTTGCTGATCTTCTGACCCATGTTGCCTTTAGCTCCTTCCACTCCTGTGGTCACCTTTCAATTCAGTTAAGTTCAGTCGCTCAGTGGTGTCCGACTCTTTGCGAACCCATGAATCGCAGCACGCCAGGCCTCCCTGTCCATCACCAATTCCCGGAGTTTACTCAAACTCAATGTCCATCGCGTTGGTGATGCCATCCAGCCATCTCATCCACTGTCGTCCCTTCTCCTCTTGCCCCCAACCCCTCCCAGCATCAGGGTCTTTTCCAATGAGTCAACCCTTCGCATGAGGTCGCCAAAGTCTTGGAGTTTCAGCTTCAGCATCAGTCCTTCCAGTGAACACCCAGGACTGATCTCCTTTAGGATGGACTGGTTGGATCTCCTTGCAGGGTGGGCACCTTAGCCTCCCTGAAAAGTTTGGTTCAGGAACTAGCCTTCAGTGCCCTTGCAAGCCCCGCTTTACTTCTCTTCATCTACTTGATACAAGATGAGAAAATTGAGGATCAAAGAGATTGAGGACGTTTACCCGTAGTTAGCAATTTGTTAATAACACCCACATTCGAATCCAATATGTGATTATAAAAGCCCTCTTTACTGTGGTACATATATACACAATGGAATATTACTCAGATATTAAAAAGAATGCATTTAAATCAGTTCTAATGAAGTGGATGAAACTGGAGCCTATTATACAGAGCGAAGTAAGTCAGAAAGGAAAACACCAATACAGTATATTAACGCATATATATGAAATTTAGAAAGATGGTAACGATGGCCCTATATACGAGACAGCAAGAGAGACACAGATGTAAAGAACAGACTGTTGGACTCTGTGGGAGAAGGTGAGGGTGGGATGATTTGAGATAATAGCATTGAAACATGTATATAATCATGTGTGAACTAGATCACCAGTCCAGGTTCGATGCATGAGGCAGGGTGCTCAGGGCTGGTGCACTGGGATGACTCAGAGGGATGGGATGGGGAGGGAGGTGGGAGGGAGGGTCAGGATGGGGGACACATGTACACCCATGGCTGATTCATGTGAATGTATGGCAAAAACCACCACAGTATTGTGAAGTAATTAGCCTCCAATTAAATAAAAAAACAAAAGAAATAAAACCCCTCTTTATGCCCCTTCGACCTGGCAAAATACTGCCGTTTAAAAAAAAAAAAGGTTTACTCACATTATAAGATGCAGGAAAAAAATAAAAACACAAAAAAAACCAATTACAGGACTGCATGCTTTAAATACATACAACACAAATGACGGGAAATGGAAGGCTTTCTTTATGCTTCCTCATTAATTGTTTGATACGCAGCCCCTTCGTTAACTCGTCAGCCTTGATATTTCTTATTTTTTGTTATTTTGCATTATCTAAGGCTTTTTTCTTTTTTTTCAATCTTTTAGTGTAGTGTTGAACACAGGCATTCATAGCAGGCATTCTTTTCCCATTCCTTTTTGTAGTAGAAACAGTTTTTTTAATTTTATACCAGTAAGTCTATTTGTCATAGGTTCTGAAAGATACTGATCAAGTTAAGAAAATTTTTAATTTCTGGTTTTCTGAGATTTTGTGGAGTTTTATCAGATACCTTTAGGGCATTCTGTTGAGGGGTCATACAGTTTTCTTGCTTTAATATGATAATTTTATTGATAAATTGAATTGTCCTTGCTTTTTGAGATAAATCCTATTTGATTTGTTGATTTGGTGGTTGTACTTGACAGTAATTCAGTATTTTTATTAAATACTTTTGTGTTTATGTTAAGTTAAATCAGGTTATGGTTTTTATTTTTGTAGTTACCCTGTTTTGTTTTAGTATTGAGCTATGGATTGAGTTGGGAAAATGTAACAGTTTTTTTTTTTTCATGTATTCTAGAGTAGTTTATATCTTTCTCTCAAGAGTGTACTTGACTGTTGGACCCTACAGCTGTTTGGGTCTGGTAGATTTTTCTAGGGGTAGTGTTTTTTTCCTTAATGCCTCTCATCTTTTTTTCTTCCCCACTTTCTTTGATAGTTATAGGTATATTCAGTTTTTCTAGATTTACTTTTGGATCAGTTCAGTTCAGTCAGTCAGTTGTATCCTACTCTTTGTGACCCCATGGACTGCAGCACACCAGGCTTCCCTTTCCATCACCAACTCCTAGAGCTTGCTCAAGCTCATGTCCATCGAGTCGGTGATACCATCCAGCCATCTCATCCTCCGTCATCCCCTTCTCCTCCTGCCTTCAATTTTTCCCAGCGTCGGGGTCTTTTCCAGTGAGTCAGTTCTTTGCTTCAAGTGGCCAAAGTTTTGGAGTTTCAGCTTCAACATCAGTCTTTTTAATGAATATTTGGGACTGATTTCCTTCAGTATTGACTGGTTGGAGCTCCTTGCAATCCAAGGGACTCTCAAGAGTCTTCTCCAACACCATAGTTGAAAAGCATCAATACTTCGGTGCTCAGCTTTCTTTATGGTCCAACTCTCACATGCATACATACTGGAAAAAACATAGCTTTGACTAGATGGACCTTTGTGAGCAAAGTGATGTCTCTGCTTTTTAATATGCTGTCTAGGTTTGTCATAGCTTTTCTTCTAAGGAGCAAGCATCGTTTGATTTCATTTTTGGATATCACCATTCTTGCCTTAAATAGTTTGCATATTTTTAGTACTCTATTATTATGAGAAGACCAGTAGTAAGGACTGTGTAAGTATTTGCATACAGAACTAAATTGTACTTTTATGAGAAGTAGTTCATTGGGAAGTCTTACAAATAGGGAGGATGATTGTGTGTGCATTTATAAAATCCATTTTGGTGACAGTATACAAAACGGATTGGCAAGACCTTTGATTAGATGTAGGGAGTCCAGTGTGTGTGAACTCACTCACTCAGTCGTGTCTGACTCTTTGTGGCCATGGACTGTAGCCCACCAGGCTCATCTGTGCATGGGTTTTTCCAGGCAAGAATACTGCAGTGGTTTGCCATTTCCTATCCAAGGGGAATCTCCTCCATCCAGAGATCGAACCTGTGTCTCTTGGCAGGCAGGTTCTTTATCACTCATGCCACCTGGAGGTAATCTAGGCAAAAAGGATGTTGCCTTGGATCAGCATTCTGGCAGCAGACTTGAGAGACTGGATAGATTTGGAAAATAGGAGGCAAAGTTGATTGAATTATCTTAAATTACTTGCCTGCTTTGAATATGATTGGATATTTAACAGTTTTAAAAATGACAGTAGCTTCTGGTAAGCATTGGTACTTAATTATATATGTGATTTGTAACATTTTGCTGCTGTTTCTTTTTAAGAATTAAGAAGAATGACCATACATACAAAAAATTCTTGGGTGAATGGTCTACTGGAGGAGTATCGTATTCTTCAGAAGTCTGAAATTGTAGGAAATTATTCAGTATTGAGTGTATTTCCATTTGTGTGTTGTAAGATATTATTATTTCTTCACTTTTTATAAATTTGCTGATAATTACAGCCTGGAGAGTAATGTCAAAGAATACTGAGTAATTAAATAGTCTTTTTTGTGGTTTTAAATAACTGATTTATGCAACCAAAGAATTTGGAGATGTTTAATAAAGATTTTATTAAATGATGCATGACTTTATAGATGTATTTTTATTGTTTAATGGTTCTTTATGTCTTTTAATTTTAGGAGACCAAATATCTTTTGCCACCTCTGGAAAAAGAGTTATTCTTGGCAGAGCACAGTGACCTTGAAGAAGGTGGATTAGACCTGACTGTGGCATTAAAACCAGTTAGTTTCTATATATCAGACAAAAAAGAAATGCTTCGGCAGTGTTTCTGTATCATAGGAGAGAAGAAGTTACAGAAGATGCTTCCTGATGTGTTAAAGGTACTTCATGACATACATTCGTAGGTTCCCCACTATATAGAAATATACAAAAACTTTATTTGTAGCAGTCATTTTACTTAATGGAAATTATAATTGTGTGTTTTCAACTAAGCTACTTCAAAAAGACAAAGGGATTTTGCAGAACCATAATGGCTTTGTGTATTGAAAAATTTGCCAGAAAGAAATGGGACACTTTACTGTATTTAGGTAAGGAATTTTTTGACCTTCTGGGAATAATTCTATTAAATATTGGCAATTTAAGTAACTATATTAGACATACACTGATTCTTTTCTTTTGCTTTAGGAAGTAGTATACTGCTGTGTAACAGTATGTAATAAAAGGAAGTAAGTGAAAGTGTTAGTCACTCTCATGTTAGACTCTTTGTGACCCCATGCGCTGTAGCCCACCAGGCTCCTCTCTCCATGGAATTCTCCAGGCAAGAGTACTGGAGTGGGTTGCCATTTCCTTCTCCAGGGTATCTTCCCAATCCAGGGATTGAACCCCAGGTCTTCCACGTTGCAGGCAGACTCTACCAACTGAGTCATCAGGGAAGACCACAGTATGCAATGATAGTTGGTAATAGCCTGTATTTCATTAAATTCATAAATGTTTTCTATGTTTATTTCTGAAAATTACTCAGAAACATATGTGGTGTTGTAATTTTACTGATATGGAAAAAAGACTTGGACAAGTTAAACCCAATAACATATATATCTTAAGATGAATGAAGCCAGGGCTTGAATATTTAAGCCTTTAGTGGTATTAGCCTAACATAATTAGGAGAAGATTCTTGAGAGTCCCTTGGACTGCAAGGAGATCCAACCAGTCCATCCTAAAGGAAATCAATCCTGAATACACTGGAGGGACTGATGCTGAAGCTGAAACTCCAATACTTTGGCCACCTGATAACAAGAGCTAACTCATTTGAAAAGACCCTTAGGCTGGGAATGATTGAGGACAGGAAGAGAAGGGGATGACAGAGGATGAGATGGCTGGATGGCATCACCGACTCAACGGACATGGGTTTGGGTGAACTCCGCGAGTTGGTGATGGACAGGGAGGCCTGGCGTGCTGGGGTTCATGGAGTCACAAAGAGTCAGACACAACTGAGCGACTGAACTGAACTGAAATAGGCTGCTATTAACAGTATCTGGGCATCTGACTCTCTCTTTAGTTTGTTCTTTCATAGTAAACATGACTTTATATATTCCAGTTAAAACTATAAATTATAATGTTTGCTTGTTAACTGGCAGGTCTTCAGATTTTATCCCATAAAAAAGATTTTTGTGACTTTTCATTGGTTTGACTGCACAGCTTTGCTAAGCAAGACTTTTTTTGTTTTTTAAATGCTTGTTGTTTTCTAGTTTACTTTGGTGCTGTATTATATAAATGCATTTTTTAAAATATCATTTTCTTTAGAACTGTTCAATAGAAGAAATTAAAAGACTTTGCCAGGAACAGCTAGAGCTCCTGTCTGAAAAAAAAATTTTGAAGATTCTTGAGGGTAAGAATGCATATTTCTACCTTCTGGTAACTTACTATAGATATTTAATCCTGTATTTAGCATAAATCATGAGGTATTTTTACTTGACTTCAGCTTTATTCTTAGTCATTAATTAATATTTTTACTTCTCTTTATACAAAATTATAGTTTATATCTTAGAATAGCATCTCTGGAATGGACTTTTTGATGTATGTGAGATTTTTCCAAATCAGTTATATAGGTAAGAACTTTTAAGTTTGTGTGAAAAAAAAAAGAAAAAAGTTTATCCAAAATTCTATTAAAAAATTAATTATTAAGAAGGCAAAGACTTCTTTTAAGATATTTTTTAGTTTTTTGCTTTCTCATTGCTTCTAATTATCCATTGAATACCATTTCTGCTCTAATAAGAGCCAAATGCAGAGTTAGAATAATTTCTTGCAAATTCCTGACATTTGTCTGTCTGCCTAAAGTAAGACTCTTCTTTGTGATACATTACCTATAGAATTTTGTGTTTTTAAGCTGGGTTTTTTTTTTTTGACTCTTCAAGGATTTTAGTATTAGCGTTACAAGAGAAGGAACAAAAAAATGGAGACTTTCAATTTCTAGAGATAACATCTTTTTAAAATGTAAAATGGTTTAATGGAATTTGTAACTGATAAAAGATGTGTACATCTGTGTATAGTCTGTAAGTATATATATGTATATATACACATTCTCATTTATATACATTTTGTGCATTTATAGAATAGATAAATAGGATATATACCTAAAAAGACATTTTAAATATAATAATTAAAACTGTCATCTTTCAACAGCTATCAGGTTTCTTAATCTGTCACTTTATAGATGAAGCCTTCTGTATAATGATAAGTTGCTCTGACTTTTTGTCTTATAAGCGTGTTTTCAATTTTTTGTTTTTTAATGTCATTCACCAGGTGACAATGGTATGGACTCTGAAATGGAAGAAGAAGCAGATGACGGCTCTAAGATGGTATCTGATTTAGTTAATCAGTAAGTTAAAACCATTTATTGTAATTTCAGAATTGCTTTATCATCTCTGGTAATTTCTTACCTCAAGAATGTGATTGTTTTTCTGTGTTATAGTTATATAAAGAGATTCAACAATGTTGGATTGATTTTTTTACTTGTAGTGATTGGTCCTTTTGATTTGTGAGGATGGAATTAATTGCTTTGAGGATTAAGATAATTTTATTACACTACTGCTCAGAAACAGGACTGTAACAGTGCCAACACTGAAGCAGAATCACATCTCTCACTTGGAATTTGAATATATATACTACTACTGACACCCACTGTTTATTAAGTACTTACTATAACAAACATGTTAATAGTTTAGAAGACTTTATCTCACTGAATTCTCCTACATACCTCTTAATGTTTGGTGATAATAGCTTCTTTTCATGGATCAGATAGTAAGCTGGTTCATTTGATATCAGTTCAGTCAGTTCAGTCGCTCAGTGGTGTCCAATTCTTTGCGACCCCATGGACTGCAGCATGCCAGGTTTCCCTGTCCATCACCAACCCCAGGAGCTTGCTCAAACTCATGTCCATCAAGTTGGTGATGCCATCCAACCACCTCATCCTCTGTCGTCCCCTTCTCTTGCCTTCAGTCTTGCCCAGCATCAGGGTCTTTTCCAATGAGTCAGTTCTTTGTTTGATATAGGTACATTTAATTTGACTATTGTGATGATGAAAAATAGCTGAAGTTTTTGAATGCCAACTAATTAAGAAGTGACATGCTCATTTTCTAGGCTATTTTGCTCTGCCGTGGGCTTATTAAACTTTCACCCACTAATTTTATCATCTGTTCTGATTTTTTACTAAAATATTTTTTTTTTGGTCATCACCAAAGACTGACTTGCATCTCTGTTTGCAAAGTTTGGCTGTAGACAGTAGCCCAAATAAAAACATAACCAGAGACAGTAACATAAATCAGTAGCACATATTTAACCTGAAACCTGAGTATATTTTCATTTCTAATACAGTGCTATTGGGTAAGTATCACTGGAAAAAGACAATTTAATTTCATATTATAACTATAGAGAGAGCATCAGCTACTTATACTGGAGCACTGAAGAAATCATTGTATCTTGGCTGCCTCATAATCAGTAGATTTTTGGTCATCACATTAATCTTGCCTCGGAATGTCATAGGATGGTTTATACTTACCCACAAAGTATAAAATGTACACATTTCTACAGTCTTGCTATTGACTTTTCTTCAAAATATGTGGCTTTAAATCGCTTATATGTATGCTCATCTAGTTTAGCTAGTTTAAGCCTGTCACTTTTTAGTTTTACATTTTAGTTTCTTAAATAATCTAAATTAATCATCTTGTTTCTTGATGCTTTTTACAGAGCATCAACTTTTGCTTGATTACTTTTGTTTTGCCTTTGTTTAAATGTGTTTATTTTTCCAATTTTTGAGGTGTTTTCAAGGTTAAGTCCTTTATTGTTCACACCTGAACACTAATGCTACTTTTTCTACTGTTAGAAGCCATTTAATGGATATCTAATTAGATTAGAAATTTGTTTCTTTTTTTAAAAATTACAACAAAGTACAGTATTTGACTTCTGAACTTTTCTAATAAAAGAAAGGTGGTTAGATTCAAAGTGACTATTGTGAAAAACCGAGTTTTACAATGTTACCATGAGACAGGTCATGTTAGCTTTTAAATGCTGTGGTGAGTAGGTTAAGCAATCACAGATATTACCCAAAATTGTCATAGCAGCCACTTGTGGACCTGATAAGTGTCAGATCATTGAGATTCTTTTGAGTTATTTGAGTATATAGGCTTTAAAAAAAATCATATTTGTAAGCTACAGGATGCCAAATAAATAATAATATTAAAAGCATTGTATGCCAGACACTGTTCTAATCACTGTACTTGCCTTCATTCACTCATTGGGTTTGTACACTAGCCTTGTGAGGTGGGTGGTATTGGTATTATCATTTTACAGATGACAGATAAGGTCTAGAAAGATTCGTGTGCCTGAGATCACACAAATGAATGTGGAAGTAGAAGGAGTGTTAGTTATGAAGAGACTTTAAGTGTTCATGTAACAGGACCTGGCTTTAAAACACTTAACCTTCTCTAAAATCACTTTGTACATTTGTAAAATATGGGTAATACTTGGCTCCAATAGGATAATTGGGATTAAATGGTAGTGGAGTGGTAAAGAATCCACCTACCAGTGCCAGAGATGCAGGTTTAATCCCTGGGTGGGTCAGGAAGATCCGCTAGAGTAGGAAATGGCAATGCGCTTCAGTATTCTTGCTGGAGAATTCCATGAACAGAGGAGCCTGGCGGGCCATGATCCATGTGGTCACAAAGAATCAGATATGGCTGATGTGACTTGTTTGTTATTTAAAAATATTTTTTTTACTATTTTGTTACTAATCTTAATTATGAATAGGGAGATACACTGCACTGTGAAACAGTGAAGGTGGGACAGGGAAATAATGTGGGAAAATGTGGGCCTTAGCCCACATTGCTGACTTGACAGTTTGCTGCTTGCTTTGTGCTGAGAGGTCAGTTCAGTCCTGTCAATTTCTTTTGAGTTGAACTGAACCTGGCGGGCACACTCATATAAACTTTATTCCAGTGCTTCAGCAGAGGGTTAAGTTAGTTAACATGTTTGGTACTTGGTGCTGAAAAGTATCATGTTTTTTATTACCTACTGGTTTTTTACTGTAAAAGATAACAGCAGTCTGACCTTTTTGGATGCTGAGGGAACAGTTATGAGTAGGCAAGAACCTTCAAGGAATTCAGCAATTTGGGAGAGGAAAATAAGGCTGAATACATTGAACAGGTAGCTTCTGTGGAACATAGGATTAATAGGCAAGAGGAAAGGAAACCTTAGCAAAGTAATGATAACTCTCAAAGAAGTAGAGTTAGAACACAAATGTAGTTTCAGGAACTAAAACAATTCTGAATTCCTTAATTTAGGAGACAAACAACAGATTAGCCATGACTAAAGGCTAGCTACATCATTGTGCTAAGAAATTAAATTGAATAAATGAATACAGAATAGTGAAGAGAAACCACACACAGAAAGTGTCAATCCTTATGTATAACTCATGGTTACCTGGAAGACAGTTTTAGACCTATCTTGAACATACTAGAAATCCTGGAAAGAGAAACAAATAGCTAGAAAAGAATTGAAGAAATGATAGAAGTAACATTTTTTTATTTAAAGACGTAAGACTGTAAGGACAAGGATAACGATCTGGTTATGAGTTGAATTGTGTCCCTCCAAAATTCATATATGGAAGTCCCTAACCCTTAGCACTTCAGAACATAACCTTATTTGGAGATTAGGTCTTTAAAGAGGTGATTTGTTTGTTGTTTAGTCCCTGAGCCATCTCTCATTCTTTTCCGACCCCATGGACTATACAGCTTGCCAGGCTCCTCTGTCCATGGGATTCTCCAGGCAAGAATATGGGAGTGGGTTTCCATTTCCTTTTCCAGGGATCTTCCCTACCCAAGGACTGAACCTGCGTCTCCTGCTTGGCAGGCAGATTCTTCACCACTGAGCCACTGGGAAGCCCAAAGAGGTGATTAGGTCAGCCCAGTCCGACTGGTGTCCTTATAAGACAAGGGAACTTGAGAGCCCTGAGAGGCTCCAGGGCTGGGCAGACACAGAGCAGAGCCCTGGGGACGCTGTCTGCAAGTCAGGGAGAGGCCTCAGAGGGAGCCACACCTGCAGACACCTTGATCTTCCACCTCCACCTTGCAGAACTGTGAGAAATACATTTTTATTGCTTAAGCCAGCCAGTCTTGGTATTTTGTTATGACAGCTCTAGCAGACAGATACAAACTTATATGTATATGTGTGTACGTGTGTAAATTTCCTGTGAAACTTTTCCCCCGAACTTTTTATTTTGGAAAACTTCCAACTTATATTTTGGAGAACTTTAAACTTACGTAAAATTGAAAGAATGATATGATGAACATCCATATACTTTCTGCCTAGATTCAGCAACAGTAAGATCTTGCCAGTTTGGCTTTCCCTCTCTTCTTACATTTATCCTTTTCCCCCAGGAACCATTTGTATTAGGTTGCTGGAGCTGCCAGAGCAGAGTACCATAGCCTGGCTGGGTTAAACAGCAGAAGCTTGTTTCCTCACCCTTCTGGAGGAAAGTCCAGGATTAGGGAACTGACAGAGCTCTTTCCTCTGAGGCCTCTCTCCTTGACTTGCATATGGCCACCCTCTTGTGCCTTTTCCCTTGGTTGACTTCCCTTGTGTGTCTCCCTGTTGTCTCTCTCTGTGTGCTGTTCTCCCCTTATAAGGTCACCAGTCACACTGGATTAGGGCCCACCATTATGGGCTTCAGTCCGTTAGGTTCAGTCGCTCAGTCGTGTCTGACTCTTGGCGACCTCGTGGACTACAACACGCCAGGCTCTCCTGTCCATCACCAACTCCTGGAGCTTGCTCAAACTCATGTCCATCGAGTCGGTGATGTCATCCAACCATCTCTTCCTCTGTCGTCCCCTTCTCCTCCTGCCTTCAGTCTTTCCCAGCATCAGGGTCTTTTCTTTTTTTTTTTAGGGTCTTTTCTAAGGAGTCAGTTGTTTGCATCAGGTGGCCAAAGTATTGGAGTCTCAGCTTTAGCATCAGTCCTTCCAATGAATATTCAGGACTAATTTCCTTTAGGATTGACTGGTTTGATCTCATTGCAATCTGAGGGACTCTGGAAAGTGTTCCCCAATACCATAGTTCAAGAGCATCAGTTCTTCAGCGCTCAGCTTTCTTTATGGTCCAACTTTCATATGCATACATGACTACTGGAAAAACCATAGCTTTGACTAGACAGACCATTGTTGGCAAAGTAATGTCTCTGCTTTTTAATATGCGGTCTAGGTTTGTTATAACATTTCTTCTAAGGAGCAAGCGTCTTTTAATTTCATGGCTGCAGTCGCCATCTGCAGTGATTTTGGAGCCCAAGAAAGTAAAGTCTGTCACTGTTTCCACTGTTTCCACATCTAT